GTAGTTCGTTTATTAAGATCTATACTTAATTGTAGTTCCATTTTTTCGGTTTTTTCCGTTTATAGTTAGCTATTAGATTAGATCGACAAAAAGCTACTTCAGTTATAACCAAATAAATCCATCATAAGATTATAAAGAGATCAATGTATATTCACGTGCGTCGATCCTTGTTGTCACATTAGAAGAAGAATTGGGACACTGTTTTGGCTCCGGGAAGGAATGATGGTGCAATAGTAAAAGTGGGGGCAAAGTCGTAATTGGAGCTAAGCATTGGTCGTGTTGCTGCTTCAAATACTGAATGACGAGTGAATGTAACGTGATTCTCTCGGGGGTGAAGTCGTAATTGGGCTTGACTCGTCTTCCTGGTGGTGCAGTCTCGTTCAGCTTCCGCTTCATCGGTAAAACTGAAGTGAATGATAATGGAGGCTCTTGTGCATTTTTGAAAAATCTTTTATTCCCTTGTTTGCATGAACAACTTTTCTGGCTTGTCGATATCCTTGTTCTAGCTTCAGAGGAAGCTTGCTGATGTGGCACAATGGCTGCATTTGATTCGCCGATGATCGATTTAGAAGGGCAGACGAGATTTACCAACAGATGCAGCGCCGCCTCAACAACCTTTGAACATATTTGTCACAAGAAATGTGCAGTAATTGGGATTTAGCAAACCGAAAAAAAAGGAATGTAATAATAATTAAGAATCAAAATCATACTTTTGGTTTAACGTCGGCAGAGGTCATTATTGCATCCGAAATAACAGCCATGCCGACTCGACCATTACTTAGTGTTGCGTTTATGATATATTCAGGGCTATAAGGAATTAAAGTTACGATATGCAATACACCGAGTACGTGTTGAAGCTAATCTTCTAACCTATCCATTATTGATATGTTCTGTAGAAAAAAAAAGCAAAACAAAAATATTTTATATATATATATATATATATTTATATATATATATATATATATATATATATATAGACACACACACAAATACCAAAAGAAAAGAGATAATTGCATATACCATCCTTGTGTTATCTCTAACTGTCAACTACCCCCTGTCAAAAAAAAAAATTACTGTCTTGGCTGTTAAATTACTGTCTTAGACTGTATTATCACTGTTTGTGACAGTAATATTATGAATATTACTTTCCCTAACAGTAATATTATTGCATGAGACAGTAATATTACGATCGAAGACAGGTAAATTGCAGGCCAAGACGATAAAATTAATTAATACAGTAAAATTATTGTTTTTGACAGTTAAATTACGGTTGGAGACAGTAATTTAGTAGCCAAGACAGTAATATTAATTAAAATATTTGTTTTAAGAAAAAAAAGTCAATTATTAGTTAAGTTTAGGGGTGGTAAACGAGCCGAGCCGGCTCGCGAACTCGACGAGCCGGCTCGAAAAAAGCTCGAACTCGAGCTCGGGATTTTCGAGCTCGAGCTCGAGCTCTTCGGACGAGCTCGAGCTCGAGCCCAAAATTAGCTGTTCGACAGCTCGCGAGCCGGCTCGCGAGCTGCCTTCTATTTTTTTTTTTTTTTTTTTTTTTTCCTTTTTACATATATATATATATATATATATATATATATATATATATATATATATTATTCTTATTATTATTATTATTATTATTATTATTATTATTATTATCACCATTATTATTATTATTATTAACTAAATAGTAAATAATCTATAATAATAAATATAACTAGTATTTAAATAGAAACAAATCTGTATTACTTAAATAATTCTTAATTATTTAAAATATCTTACTAATAATAATAATAATAATAATAATAGAAAAAATAAAAAATATATATACCTAGAGTTCATTAGTTAGGGGAGAATTTTTGGTAGTTTCCTATGAATAATTTCTAATAAAAAAAAGTTAATAAAAAAGTTAAATAATAATAAAAAATAAAAATAAAAAAAAAATAAAAAAAAAAATTTAATAAGCCTGAGCTCGAGCTCGAGCCAAAAAAAATTGGCTCGATGAGCTCGAGCTCGAGCTCGAGCTCGGGAACATGGACTCGAGCTGGCCAAAAGAGCCGAGCTCGGCTCGTTCCCACCCCTAGTTAAGTTACTGTCTCCGACAGTTACTATTCGAGACATTAATTTAGGACAGTAGAATAAATTAAAATAATTTTTTTTAAGAAAAAATAAAATTTTAAAAAAAGTCAACGCCGGATACCTGACGGCGGTTGACCTACCGAAAAAAAATGTTAAAAAAAAAAAAAAAAGAACGCCGGAGACCGGCGGTCTGTGGTGGTGGCGGGTCAAAATTGGAATTATGGTCAAAATTGGTTAATTGGTGAAATTAAGCTAAATTGTGTTGTAAATCATGAAATTGGAGGTGTATTGAGTTTCAAGGAATTGTGGGTAATTTTAGTATATATAAAATGATTTTCCTTATTTATAAATAAATTTGAATGAGATGAAGTTATTTGAAAGACAAAACAATTGGATATCTTTTTTTTAATTAAGTGCCTTTGTCATGTGCTTTGCCATTAAATTTAAGATCAATTTGGATTTTGGATTTTGGGTTTCGGAAGTGACCGGAAATGGCTAAAATCAAGTGGGCCACATTAAACAAAAAATAGGTTGAAAAAGAAAAGGAATAAGAAGGAACTGGGCCCACAATTTTCGTCCGAGGAAAAAAAAGGTATTACAAAATGAAATTCAGTTTTGGATATGGAAATTGGAAAGGCAGAAATAAAGACGAAACGGCGCCGTTTTGCGGGCAAATCTGCTTAAAAAGGGTGAAAAGTAAATTGAGAAGAAGTACTATTCACGTTTCTCGTACACGTTTAAAATGTGATGAATTCATTCAGCTTCTTCTTTCCCAAAACCCAACTTCACTATTCTCATTCTTCTCATTTTATACAAAACCCCACCCTCGCCGCACCACCACCGGCAACACCGCACAGGCGGCTGAGCCAATAGAGAGCTATAATTCAAGGTACATAAATCTAATTTACATTTGATTCTAGTTTAATGGTGCAACTCTACTATGATTATGTAGAATTGGAAACCCTTTCTCATATGAATTATATACATGAAATCCCCTTTAGTTTTTATTTTCCCTGGTGATGGATAGATGGCTTCATTTTTCTAATTGTTAAAAAGGTGAGAAAGAATTTAAATTAATTGATTGAGAAAGAATTTAAATTCATATGATAATGTGGAAGTCTACCGATTTCATTTTACTCATTCAATACTGAATGTTTTCTCTAACAAAATTTTCCCAAATTGACTATTTCACCTCAGTTCATGTACCGTTTTGTCAACATTTGATACTTGTATTGAGTGGGTATATCTTTTTAGGGCTGATTTGTCTTTGTTCTCATTCTCTGCATATTAGCCCTTGTTTGCTTGACTTTGATATTGTATATGTTACTTGGCATTTATGATTACATACTTCGATTTGGAGTTAATGTTCGATGTAATCTGTAGTCTTCTTGATAAATATTATTCCTCGGAAATTATTGTTTCCATGTGTATATGATCTTCTTTATTGTGTTTTTTATGTTGATCGGAAACTTGAAGCTGAATTGTTTCTAATAAATGTAGGATTTATTTTCTGAAATTGAAAATATGGATACAAATTGTATTTTACTTCATCTGGTGTAAAAACTTAAATTATGCGGATTTGTCTTGAGATATGAAACACATTTTTCAGTTGTCTTTTTGTGGCTTGAATGCTACTCTTGATGTTTTGGTATTAGATTTATTCATTTTAGCAGATTTTCTACCGCATGTTTAATGTTGTCATTACAAGTTCATTCTTCACGATTGTGTTTATTAAATTGAGCCAAAATCCTTGAATGAAAAGTCTAAATAGAAATATAACTCATGTTTTACTAATTTACGTGGATTTTTGAATCAAGTTAGTATATGCTTATGCTACTCCACTTCATGTTAATTTATAAATTAGTGAAACAAAGAGCCACTTATGATGCATAAAATGTGAGAGGAAAAAAAATATATATATATATATATATATATATATAATTTTTATTTTTTCCCCTTTAAAGCATATATATAAATCTTGGGCTTTCCCAATTTTAATATGTAATTTATAAGATGGAGCAAACAGAATATTGCACACAATACAGTCGTAAGTTTTTGGTACATGTATTTTCATGTTAGAACAGACTAGGAATTGCCAATAATTTGCTTCTTAGTTTTTAATGACTTCTTGATTTGGTGAAGGGGACACACTATATCAGTGTCTTTTAAAATTGAATTGTCGTAATGTGATTGTGAATTTCATTATCTCTTAAAGTCACGAATCTTGTTTGTAGTAACAGAAGTGAAGCAGCGTTTTTATTTTCATTTTGTGTATTTTACCAGTGTTTAGTTAATGTGACGCGCTGATTTTGTCTCGTGCAGGGTTTTTCATATTTAACTATGGGAATGGATGAAACTTCGACAAATACACAAACCTCTGTCTCCAAGCATGCATTTTTTGATCTCTCCAATGTTTCTCCATTGGTATTCTTGTATCTTCTAAGAGAATGTTATGCTCATGGTAAATAGAGTGCTAAACACTTCCCTTATTATTTAATATGTAATATAACAATGACTTAGAAAATGAGAGGGATTTAGAAATCTTTGTCTTCAAATTGGGTCTTTCTTGATTTAGAAACATCATCGTTTCTCTTTTCCCATACCTGTGATTCGGTAGCTTCTCTTGAATTTAGAACTATTTGAAGTTGAACTTAATTTTTTTTACATCTTATTTGAAGTCTATAAAGGACCGTAAATATTATCTGCTAAATTGAATCTTAGACAGTACTTTACCTTTGGCCTAACAGTTGAGTATGTATGTACTTATTTTGATAGGAACATGTAAAGCAACACAGAAATTCCATGCACTACAGCAGCAGCTATATCTAGTTTTACTCAATAATTCCAAAGTTGGACCAGCGATTCTAATTGCTCGCTGCCTCTACATATTGCCCGTATTTGATTCATACTGTGATGGATTCAGCCATTTGGTACTATCATCACTTTGCCGTTTCTTGAAAGTAGGAAAGAACAATGAAGATTTAATCGAGGCAAAAGTTTGTGCTGCAAACTTATTCTTGGACATCATTGGTGGTACGGTGACTCACGACGAAGGTGTCGTAGTTAAGATTGTTCAGGGTTTTGATTTCGATTTAACGGATATTGATAAAGTCATGCGTCGTGCTAAAATTGACGGCACGGCGAAAGAAGTGGTTAGAAAATACGCTGACAAGCTAATAGACTTGCAATCGTATACGACTGCTGTTGATATGTTGATACACTTTTCTATCCGCGAGCGTGGAGAGTCTTTTTTACTGAAAATGTTAGAATGCCGACAGCAGAAAGTGGCGGAGAAGTGGGCAACGTATATGGGAAAGTCAATGCTGTGTTTGCTTGTCCAGCAATACGTTGACCAGAAATTATTGAAACCTGCTTATGATATTATAAAGAAAAATAATTTGCGTGAGGAATTCCCGGAACTCTATCATCAGGGTAAAGAAAGGCAAGTCCCCGTAACAATTTTATTTATTTAGTGCTAATCAATCACCTTTGATCAATTTGTTCAGATCGTAAATTGTTAATATATGATTACAGTGCACTGAAGAAGCTAGCAGAAAAAGGTGTGTGGGATATTGCAGAAGCAAGAGCTAATGGTGATAGACAACTTGTTGAATATTTGGTAAGTCGCTGAACTTGCTCTTTACCCGTTCGGACCAAAATTGTATGCATCGACATAAAACTAGCTTGCTAATTTGTTGGAGCAAATACATTCGACCAATTTCCCATGGTATTTTCAAAATTAACTAAAAACGAAAAAAAAGAAAAGAAGAAGAAAATGAATAGAATATTAATCCAAAAGTTGACATTTCAGGTTTATCTTGCAATGGAAGATGGTTATTATGAAAAGGTTGAAGAGCTCTGTGATCGTTATTCCCTCGAAGGTTTCTTGAATTCCAAAGGTATGTGAATGAAGAATCATTCTCATCATTTTATTGGGATTTAATTACGATCATATACAACATAAATGCCAAGTCAATTTGTCAAAGTCTTGAATTAAAATGTTTTTCTTTTCATATAATTGAATTTTCATATTCATACGATGTCTGGATCCTTTGCCAGCCTTGTATTTGACCTTTTAGTTCCGTAGCAAGTATGGTTCTATGTATACACGCAAATTTAGGCCTGATTTTGCTGCGTTAGCATTCTATATTATCTATTGATTCTTTTAAAAGGTTTATTTTCAATTAATTTTTTCTGTTTAGTTTGATCGTCAAGTGACAGTTTTCGTTATGTACCTTTGCATATCCTTTTCTTTAGGGTACATGGAGGGAAAAGCTAAGAATCTCCATTTATGTGAATTATTTAGTTTGTCTATAAGAAGTCCTTTTTTTTTCTTTCTGAAAATTGGCGATCACATTGAGTTAGGGGTGCTATTTATTTTCGTTGCCTAATCAGCAATTTACAATTTTCAGAGCCTGAATCAGATCTTCTAAATCGTCGGTACTTGAACCTTCATGATTTGTCCATTGACGATGTTTGCTGGGTCGATGAATTTAATGGTTTGCGTGACGCAATACGCTACTTTAAGGGATGCAAAGTTGTTGGCCTTGACTGTGAATGGAAGCCTAATTACGAAAAGGGCAGCAAACCCAGTAAGGTAGTTTTAGTTTCTAATTCGTCACTTTTCCCCTGTATGAAAATAGTAGTCTCTGTTACATTATTGAAAATGTGGGCAATTTCTTGAACGTAGAGGCACTATGTCGAGTATTTTAAATGCAGTCTTCACTTCCTATGCGCCTCTGTTATGCAAGTTTTGGTTCCTTGTCGAATTTATCTTCTCCCCTAGTCATAATTTTGCATATGCGTGTGTAAGAGTGAGCATGTATTTGTGGCAGCCCAATTGTCTATGTGTCGTCCTTTTACACTTCTTCTTGTATCTTTTTGACACTTAACTGTTGAATAGTATCCTAAAAACATGGAAATGTTAGATTTCTACGAATCTTTTGTCTATGATTCGATCTGCTTGATTTGTCATGTGCCATTTTGCATGTGAATATATGTGTTTGTGCACCGCCTGCATATGCATGTGCGAGAGCAACTTCTTTGTGTGCATATACATGTGGATCTCTCGGTACCTTTATATGAGATTCTTATAAAGGTAAGAATCATTAATTTATTGAGTCTTTCATTCTTTTTAATAATAAATAGCATCTTTCTAAATTTTCAATTTAAGAAATATGCCATTTGACTAACCATGGAGCATTGCAAGATTGGGGTAGAGGTTTCATAAAATTATTGATTACATGATTTGTTATTAACTTGTTTCAAAATTATTTTAAGATTTTGAAAAGTATTTCACGTGTTTTCGAAAATTATTTCATTTGTATAAAAAACTACTTCCATTACGTTCACGACACCTCAAGATAATATATAAAGGCTATCATCAGCGTTTTCATTGTGTGCAAGATGTAAGAAAATTACAAACATGACCTTGTCTTGTTACCGGAAACACTAAAAGGTTTCTTTTTTGGTGTTTAAAAAGCATGTCGATATTTGTGTAGATAGTGAAGAGTAGAGTACAGTGTCTAATACCTAAGACATTAGTACCTATTTATAGTGTTACGATTATGCACGTAGCCACAAATTTAGTAGGACGAAATTACTTCCTCTTGTGGGATGTTAAAAAAGTTAATAGGTGCTACAAAGTTAAGTTTGTTTTTGATATTTTCAAACTTAAACTTTGTAACAATCTCCCACGAGGTTTAAAAATTATATATGTATATGTAATCAATGAAGGTAATTGAATACGTCTAAGCATTTCATTGTTGGTATGTGTTCACGCCACAATTCTTGTCTTGCTTGTATACGTCTAAGCATTTCGTTGTTACTGGTATGTGTTTACTTAACTTCACAAATTGATCACAAAATTACAATAACTGATTTTTCTCAAGTATTCAAATATCACCACATTATCTCAATCTTTCATGTCATAAAGTAGGTAGGAGATTTTAAATCTGAATTGAAATCTCCATTAATATCATTCATTCGATTTGATGTAAATAAATCATCACTTATAATAAAATAAATTCTTGTCATTTTGATTTTCGTGTAGTGCATAACTATCTGATTATACATTGATCTTCATCTCTTTTCATTTAATGTTTATTCTATGTTGTTACTAAATCCTCAAGGATTTAAAGACAGAGTTAGATACGAATTCAAGTGCATGTTGTGTAGAGAATCGAGCATACAGTAGAGGCTGTTTCTACTACCTAAAACCTAAAGAAAAATTTATTACAGTCGAGTAATAGCTATGAAAGGGGAATTAAGTTTGTTTTGGAAAAAAACCTTGAAAATTGTAACATAGAAGGGGAATTAATAGTCCATTTTTTATTACATGGGATGTAGTGGATTTATTGTAGCGTAATATGTTCTTTCTTTATTCGATCTCAATACTTAGTAACAAGTTCTATACAGAATCAGTAATTTAATTACACGACTAATCTCTTTACTGCGCATTTCGTTCTCCGCTTCGAATCCTTCTCCTTCCCCTGAGAAAGTGAATAAGGTTTTCGCTTTCCCTTTTTATTTAATTACACGACCAATAAGAAATAATTTCTACCACGTCTTTATCTGTCTTATTTACTTTTTAGTCCCTCTCCACAAAAATTGATTCGGTTTCAGTAATGGAGAGATTGCAATTATGACAGATATCTTAATTTTGGTTGAAGATCTATATATATATATATATATATATATATATATATATATATATATATATATTTCTGTGTATGTAGCTTAATAATGAAATTTGGTCTCTTAATGCAGGTTTCTATCATGCAAGTAGCCTCGGAAAAGAAGGTTTACATATTTGACCTTATCAAGCTCTATAATGATTCTCCAAGTGCGCTAGACGAGTGCCTTTCCTGCATACTGCACTCACCGAGTATTTTAAAACTTGGTAAGTTACGTCTAAATCTTTTAGTACAGAAACGCAATAATTCTGTTAAGAAAAGTACAACTGTAATCTATTTCGGAAGTTGCATGAATAAAAAAGAAAAATAACTCGATTCAGTTCTTTTAGATTTAAGTCCAACTATGTCTTCTTTCATTATTATCAACGGCATTAATGTGCTTTATTATATGCTGTTGCTACTGGTATCCTTTCGGTTTTCCCCAGTGGCGAAGCCAGGATTTGATAACTAGGGCGGCCGAAATTAATGACAACAATGATTGTTCCAAGGTTGTCGACTCTAGGATTTTGTGGACTTAAATTTCGGGTGTTCAGTCCGAATTTTTTTTAGGATTTCTTGTTTTCTTTTATGACAAAACAAGAAGATAGGAAAATAAAAATCTTGGGACTTCTTTTGCACTAGTTCGAACTTTGGGCGGACTAAATAATAAAATTGAGTAGACTCATATATTATTTTTCTATGTTTTTTTTTTCAATTAAAAATACTTAAATTTACCTTCTATATAAAATTAAATTGTTAAATATTATAGGAGCACACTACAAATGCAATAAGTTATATCATTAGGATTTTTCATCTTCTATAATGTATTTTGCAGGCTACAATTTTCAGTGTGATGTACATCAGCTTGCACATTCTTATGGAGAATTGAACTGTTTTAAGCACTTTGAGATGCTGCTTGATGTTCAGAATGTGTTCAAAGAACCACGGGGTGGTCTCTCCGGTCTTGCGGAGGTAAATCCTTTCAGTTTTTGCTGCTTTTTTTTTTTTTTTTTTTTTTTCCGGATATTTTGATGTTTGTGTAAAAAAAATTAATACTATTTATTATGCATTTGTTGGAAATAGAAAATATTGGGAACCGGTCTGAATAAAACTAGACGAAATAGCAATTGGGAGCAACGACCTCTGAGTGTCTATCAGGTGAGAGTTTTTCGTATTTAACATTTTCCGATCATGTTAGTCGTGTTGTGTTCGATGATTGATGTGCATGCTCTTTTGTTTTGTCGAATTGCCTTTTTGTGGACGTGTTAATTAATGTCTTTGCAGCGATGTAAAATATATAAAATTGTTATATATCATATGTCGAATTAAAATGATTTAAGTTTGGAAGTTGATGTATGCAATTGAATATATTAAATGCAGCTGGAATATGCTGCTCTTGATGCTGCTGTGCTCGTCCACATATTTCGGCATGTTAGAAGGCAATCCGAGCGGCCTTCAGGTGCACAAGATGGGCATGCCAAGATTGAATGGAAATCATACATTGTATGGACTCTCTCTCTCTCTCTCCCTCTCTCTCTCTCTCTATATATATATATATATATATCTAACCAACTATATATTATGCAGATTTCCCATATGGGCAGCTCAAAAGGGCACTTAAACCGGAGAAGCCCACGAAGATGAATAGGTTATGACGTTTCTTCAGTTAGGTAGAGCTAGTGAGCCTATTAAAAGTAGAGTTTACATTTGATTAGACTTTTATTTTGAACAGTTTGATGGTTAAATGAAAACTTGGATATGTTGGCAAGATACACTTGTTTTAAGAGAGGAAAGTGTACAGTGTAAAAAAAGTGGGCTACTTTTTCATTTAGATAGTAGTAGCAAAAAGAAAACATTGAAAAACACACATTTCATGCACAAAACATGCACAAGTTTCACATCATTCATTATCAATGTGGTAAATATTTATTTGCTGAAGTGCATTGATATGCGTTCCTTACTAACGAGACAAGGTGGTAAAGCATGGCCGTTCGGAGGTTTCCGGAAAGCCTCCGGCGCATCGATGTCGGACACCAAGAAAGTAAACCCTCGCCAATGCAACGAGGAAGCCATTTGTCATGCTATTTTTCTATATAGAAGAGGCTCCACCGAAGTGATCGTAGTAGCGGGCCCGTCCTAATCATTATGAATGAGTTACCTCCCTTAGATCTTAGATATGTAAGCCTCCTTGGCTTTTATATGAATAGGTCTACTTCACTTGTTATAGGATGAGCTCTCCCGAGCCCAGCCTCATCAATAGGAAGCTCCTTGCGGACTTAGCAACATTGATCTTAAAAGCAACCTATATATGTAATGTATTTTTACATTTTTAATTAATAATTTAAGTAAATAGTAGTAATACTTTTCTATAAAACGGTAATTATTTGATCTTGTACCTCGGTATTGTTTCCGGAGCTTAGATGTTGCATTTTCTGCAAGCCAGTGCATCTCCATTCTTGGAGATTGCTGAATTCATTTTGTAAATGAATCATACCAGATGTATAATTTATTTTATACCTTTGGCTTCGAAAAATAATAATCATCCTATAAAATAGAAAATACAAGTTAGCTTGATTTTAATGCATATTTACTCAGTTATTGTGAATTTGACTTTAGATAGTAAACGTATGCTATGTATTCCTTTCCTTCATTGCCAGTGCTTGTATTTTCAATGGATCATTAATTTGGGCTAACTTGCGAATAAATAAAATAATTAATTAGCATGAAACTTAATTTATATATTGAATTCTGATGATGCTAAATACTTAGATCACATGGGATAGTGTGGTAAACGAGTAGGGAGAGCAAAGTGGATCAGTAGCTTGTCAATTAGATGGTCCTGTGGTCCCTGCGAAATTAACATACGTGAACTAAGTCGGGGGTCGATCCGGCGGAAACCCCTCCGACGCTCAAGTCAGATGTACGGATCGTGGAGATAGTAGAGGAATATGAGCTCTAGAATATTTGTGAATAATGGAACGCACATTAACAAAATGAGTAAAACCTCTATTTATATGTCGTTTATTGGGTCGGTTTGCTTTGTTGGGCCCAAGGCTTGTTTAAAGGTGTTTTGGGCTTTCGTGTACCGGGCCCAATTGAGAAATGAATCGTGGGCCCATTGGGCCGATCTAATTAGGTATATCACTAAGCCCCCAACTCTTGAGTTGAGGCGAGAGACTTGTTGAAATGGTGCCGGATCATGTCTGGAGTTTAAATGTTGCATAATTTGAATTGTTTCCGTTGTTGTAGAATTATTTCGTAAAGAAAAAAAGGGGTAATTGTGTTTATTTGGCAGGAAGATATATACTTGAATATTATATTAGTGCCAAATAAATAGAGTCCTTTGACATGAGAGAGAATTAAAATCTATCTCTTGTGCGGGAATAAATATGGTTAAGTATTTTTTTGGCTTTTTCTCTGTGTTCTTATTTGTATTTTTTGTGGTAGAGTAGAAGTTTATCCCTTGTTTAAGTATTTCTTCTGAAAGAGAAATTTATCATGTCGAATCCGGGTAAATCGAAATCCTTGCAAATTAAAATTCGAGATCCAGTTAAAGGGAGCGAGATGCCTTTTGGTACTGTGGGTATGGAATGCGAGAAGCTTATAGTATCGGGTGCGGAAATCGAGTCCTCGGCGGCTGGTGCACGGATCAAGGGGAGATGGGAGGTAGTTGGTGGCAGTGTCGGGTCAGCTATAGCCGTCGGCTTGGACCGAGCCGCCACCACCAAATATTTGTCTCTAGGCGCGCGCCACGAGGTGGCTGTGGCTCCGCGTGGAGAGCTGGAGCCGACGGCTTGCACGCTGATCGAGGAGAGGAGAGAGGAGAGGGCGCACGCATCGGGCACAGGGACCGAGCGACGCGCGCACGCGTCGAGCACGGAAAAATATGGACGCGCTCGCGTGGGTGGCGATTCACGAGTGCTGGGCGCGCTTACGCAGCGACGCGCACGCGCGTTAGCTGCGCAGACCAAGGATGACGCACGCGCGCTGCCCAGTCCTGGGGCGCGTGCGGGCACGTCGGTGAGGGGATTGGGGGCGCGTGCGCGCGCGTCTGATATAGGGAGTGGTGCGCGTGGGCGCGCGTCGCTTGGGGAATCGCGCGCGCGTGAGGGAGCGTCTCTTAGGGGTTCTCGCGCGCGTGAGGGCGCGTCGGGAAGCCATTGAATCTTGGAGCGATGATGTGGGACCTAGTGTGAATGTTTTTTAGCATGCGGATGGGGTTGGTACGAGTAGGCGTTGTTCTCGACCTCATGTCGTAGATTTTGGGAGTGATAGTGATGAGTTGCATGAATCAAATTCGTCGAGTGAGCCTGCCGGAGCGTATGGTGGAGTGGAAGCGATGGTTGAAGTGGAAGAGGAAGATGATATTCTGCTTGATGATGTTGAGATGGATACGAGGAGGCAAAAGAAGACTAAGCCGCTCAATCTTGATTTAGTTGATGTTGATAGTACATTGACTGAAGAGCATTTGCGGTCTATTCGTCGGTTGGTTGGAGTGCCAAGGAATATCGAGATGCTTTTGCCTCAGAAGGGCGAGCGTGTATACTCGCCACCTGTCGGGTTTCATATGGTTTATTTGGCGTATTTGACGTGCACTTCCCAGATCACTCCGCATCCGACTTTGTTGAAAATATGTGATGAGTTTAAGATAGGGTATAGCCAGCTTTCTCCGACTGTGCTTCTTACGTTTGAGGCGTTTCACCATAGGGTGTCGAAAGTGGGGTTGCCTAGTAGTATCAATTTGTTCAAGGCATTTTTTACGATGCATCGGCCGAATAACTTAACCTTCTTTTGTGCTCATCCACGGGTTCCCTACAAGTTTTTGAAGAGTGTGAAGTTGTCATGGGGAGATTGGAAGTCTCGTTTCTTTTATGTGAAGGCTCCCTCTTTTGACGTCCCCTTAGTTTGGAACCCCACATGTGAGAATTTCAAAATTACCGAGAATATGTCTAAGAGGATCATAGAATCTGGGTTGTGTGATGTGGAATTTAATCCGAAGCATTTGATCTCGGATGGTCAGCGACGCATACCCTTTTGTTTTATCAATTTTTTTTTTCTTTTTTTTGTATTGAATTCCAACTTGCTTGATGTGTTATTCTTCGGTTTTATTTATCTTTTGTCTTTATTTTGCAGGTGATTGTATCGATTTTGCGGCGCTTCGAGCTAAGGCGAATGGCGCTTCAAAGAAGTCTTTGAAAAAGGCTCCCTTGAATTTGGGAGAGTCATCTGGTGGCATGCCTCGAGAGATAGTTTGTGTGGAAACTCCTCGAGTGCGTGAAGACGACCGTAGTTATGATGATGAATTGGAGGTGCGCGATCCCATGAACGGCATTGGTAACGGAAAGACAGTGGACACCGAGTACGTAGCTGCACCGTAGCATCCTCGGGTAGATCCGGAGGTACCTTATGCGTTCCATGGTGGAGCACGGAAGCAGTTGTTTACTTTTGGGGTGAATCGCGAGGGGAAAGAGTCCTATTGGAATGTGTCGAACCGTAGTCTCACGATGTTGAGTACCGAGGGTTTCGTTCGAGACTATGATCGTACTCGGATGTCCGGTAAGGGTTCTTCTCATATGCTTGAGTTGGCTAGCGGAGAATTATGTCGGGTGAGTGTTTGTTGTACGACAAAGTTTTATTCCTATTTTTTTTTTCTTCTGGAACCAACTTTTGTTGTGTTGATATAGGCGCTAGCTACTTGGAGGTTCCTCATGGAGCAAGATGAGAAAGTAGAAGCTAGGAAAGAGGAGGAGCGGGCTCACTGGAAAGCGCGTGAAGAGGAGCTTCGAGGCCAGTTGGAGATAGCGCAATCCGATCTCGCTCAGAGGACGAAGGAGCTTGCTCAGGTGACGGAGGAGCTTGAAGTTAGTAGAGGTGAGGGGAAGGCCTAGAAGAATGAGGCTGAAAAGTTGGACAAGTGCTATGATTTGCTGAAAGCTAAGTATGAGACTGAGAAAGCGACGGGAAAGAGGTTTCTCGCGACGTCGGAAGGTGCTGCTTATAAGGAGTCCGTCGTGGAGGAAACCGAATGTAGCTTCCGGGGTAGTGCAGCTTGCCGTGCTATGATTGAGGAACGTGCTTTGGCTGCAGTCTACATGCCGTTAGTCCGCACCTGTCGCAAATATCTTCGCGAGGTGGGTGAAATTAGTGAGAGGGTCATTCGAGGGATGGAGCCCGGTATTCTTGATGAGGGAGAGGAGGTGGATGATGCCAATGAGACGGGCACTGAGCTTGTGGATGACATGGTTGCTGATGATCCTACTACGGGGGCGTCTTCCGCTCGTGGTGGGGAAGCTTAGAGTTATATGCGATAGTTCGGTAGGATAGTTAATCTCTCTTGTGTGTGGAACACTTGGTTTATTTTTATCTTTGACGTAGATGGGTATGTCCACTACTATTTCATTTGAATTTTCTTCCGTGTTTGAAATTTCAAGTTTTGATATTTTGATATATTTATTTTGACATTGTCAAGAGTTTTATGCGTTGCTTATATGTGTTCACATTTAACATTGTACGCGATGTACTTGAGGATGGGATCAGTCTCCCAAGATTTTTGTTAAGGGTCGTGCCCTTTGTTTGACCACATGGGTCGTAAATATGTTAGGACCGTGGCCACGTTTTAAATGGAGGACCCATTAAAATAACATAGAGAGACTCAGATAGTCCAACTGGCCAGGCTATATAGATTATCTTAATTTCTTTAAGTGTTCGTTGGGTTGTAATGATACGAACTCGTCGTAACGGTTACGTAGTATAGAAATAATAACCTTGAAAGTAAAGAAAAAACTTGATTTATTCATTGATGGAAACTGCGAATTGTCACAAGCCTACGTGAGGCGAAGGGAGATAAACTTGTAAAAAGAGAATGAT